TATATGTACAACCCATGGACATGAACTAAGTGGGGGAGGGGTGGAAGCTGCAGGGTTGGGGGTCAGGGTGGAGGGGGGATAAAGGGGGAAAAATTGGGAAAACTAAAATAGCATCATCACCCAAAGCAATTTATTGATTCAATGCAATACCTATTAAAGTACCCATGACATATTTCACAGATATAGAACAAACACTTCAAAAATTTATATGGAACCATAAACGACCCTGAATATCTACTGCTATTTTGAGAAAGAAAAGCAAGGTAAGAGGGATCACAATACCTGATACCAAACTGTATTACAAGGCTATTGTAATCAAAACAGCCTGGTACTGGCATAAAAACAGGCACATGGACCAATGAAACAGAACAGAGAAGCCAGAAATAAACCCAAGTCTCTATGGTCAATTAATATTTGACAAAGCAGGCAGCAACATAAAATAGGGTAACAATAGCCTCTTCAACAAATGGTGTTGGAAGAACTGGACAGCTACATGCAAAAAAATGAAACTCGAGCACCAACTTACACCATACACAAAAGTAAATACAAGGTGGATAAAAGATTTAAATACAAGCCATATCACCATTACAGTCCTAAAGGAGCACATAGGCAGGAAAATCTCAGATATTTCATGCAGCAACATTTTTACTGATATGTCCCCCAGAGCAAGGGACATAAAGGAAAGAATAAACAAATGGGATCTCATCAAAATAAAGAGCTTCTGCACACATAAAAAAAAAAACAGCATTAAAATGAAAAAAGAACCAACCATATGGGAAAACATATTTGCCAATGATACCTCAGACAAGGGTTTAATCTCCAAAATATATAAAGAACTTATACAACTCCACTCTAAGAAGACAAGCAACCCAATTAGAAAATGGGCAAAGGACTTGAACAGATACTTCTCCAAGGAGGACATAGAGAGGATCCAGAGACATATGAAAAGATGCTCAATATCACTAGCTATCAGAGAGATGCAAATTAAAACCACAATGATATACCACTTTACACCAGTCAGAATGGTCATCATAAACAAAGCAACAAACAACAAGTGTTGGAGAGGTTGTGGAGAAAAGGGGACCCTAGTGCACTGTTGGTGGGATTGCAGACTGGTACAACCACTATGGAAATACTGGTACAACCAGTATGGAATTTCCTCAGAAAACTAAAAATGGATCTGCCTTTTGACCCAGCAATTCCACTGCTGGGACTATATCCTAAGAACCCTGAAACACCAATCCAAAAGAACCTATGCAACCCAATGTTCAAAGCAGCACAATTTACAATAGCCAAGTGTTGGAACCAACCTAGGTGCCCATCAGTAACTGAATGGATAAAAAAACAATGGTACATTTATACAATGGAATTCTATGCAGCAGAAAGAAAGAAGAAGCTCCTATCCTTTGCAACAGCATGGATGAAACTGGAAAGCATTATGCTAGGCAAAATAAGCCAGGCAGTGAAAGACAAATACCATATGATCTCACCTTTAACAGGAACCTAATCAACAAGACAAAGAAACAAGCAAAATATAAACAAAGACACTGAAATACAGAACAGGATGACAGTGTTCAGAGGGAAAGGGGAGGGAATTTCAGGGGAAAAAGGGAAGGGTTTACAGGAACAAGTATAAAGAACACATGGACAAAAACTAGGGGCAGGTGGAAATGGGAGGGAGTTGGGGAGGGCTGGGCAGGTAGGCTAGGATGGGAGTAAAAGATAGAAAATTGTACTTGAACAATAATTAAAATAAAATTATTTTATTTTAAAAAGAAATAGCATAATCAGTTAAAAATACTTTAAAAAATTAAAAAGTGTATCAGATAAAGACTGAAGTGTTTAAAGGATTGCTAATGCCAAGAGTTTAAGAATTGTTTAGACCAAAAATCTTTCACTAAAGCACCAATTAATCCAACTTTGTTTCAAGCAAAGTATTCACTTACTAGTGAACCATGATTACATAAAGGAGAAGCACAATTTTTAAAACTTTTACAAAACTTTAAAAAGCAAACTTCAACAAATGTTTGTCAAAATTGAAAATTCCCACCTTAAAAATGTACACTTAAACACATTTACTTTCGTGTAGATTTTCAGATGGGCCAATTTCAACCTTTAGAAGGGTTTTAAAAAAAAAAACTAAAAAAGCAACTCAAACTTACAGAACAAAATGTGCCTTCCAATCTAAAGAGGAAAAAAAGTTTATTCTCATGTAAAAGTAACCACTGACTTCACTCAAATGACTAAAGACAATGCTGCAAACTGCAAAATCTTTCTCCCCTTATTTTAACTAGTCCTCCTCAGGCTTCCCTTATCAATTTAACAGAGGAATTAGGGAAATTTTCAAATTCCTCTTCAGCAAGATTTGCCTTTTGCATTAATTCCATAGCACCCAAGGCAGTTATATCCACATGCCAAACCTATATGCCACAAGATTCACTTATGAATGAAAATAAAAATAGGCCCTGGCTGGTATGGCTCAGTGGATCAAGCACCGGCCTGCGAACCAAAGGGTCGCTAGTTCAATTTCGTCAGGACACATGCCTGGTTTGGGCCAGGTCCCCAGTAGGGGGCATGTGAGAGGCAACCACACACTGATGTTTTTCTCTCTGGCTTTCTCCCTCCTTTCCCCTCTCTTAAAATAAATAAAATATTTTTTGAAAATAAAAATAGGTATTAACTTAAAAGCAGCATAATAGATTAGGAAACTACAATGAATAAATAGGGTGGCTGCCTTGCTATCAAAAAACAAGCCCAGCCCTCACAAATCTTGTGTTTTGATATGAAAGTTTTACTATTATCACTCATAAAAATGCACAATACTCTTAAAATTAAGTTTCTTACACATGAAGTATATGAATAAAATGACTCCTCAAATAGTCTTTTCAAATGCTATAGAAACCTACTTAAGTAACGGGATTATAGAAAAACAACAAAAACCAGGAATGTAAATTATGAGACCTGTTATTTATTAGTATTGTTCCCTCTATTGTATATCTAATATAGTTCCAAAAATAGACACAAGATATTGGAGTTCTTTGAATCTTTGTTTTTCTTCCCAAATTGCCACCAACAGTAATTGGTATTCTGAAAACAACTCTTAAAATCTCTATTTTAATTAAAGTAGGATATTATATTCATATTCAATAAAACTTCACTATAAAAATTCCATACAACTTAATCAGTATCTTTCCCTCTTATTTTATATTCAATAACTCCTTTATTTCAAAAACAAAGATATATGGTTTTGACCACCAGTGGGTAAAGCTTTCGGAGCCACTTCTATCAACTTTTTTTTAATCAGATTTAAAATGTGGAAGAAACTGAGCACAAAGCCATATATAGTCTCTAGGAGAAAAATGCTTGATTACTGTATTGCAGTAAAAAACAACATAAATAGCTGATTTATTCATAAAAATTTCACACAAGCATAATTTTATAAGGTACACTTTAAAAATTACTTCATTTGCCATACGGTACTGTAATGTAACTTGTAAAGCTGTCCTACACAATCCATCTCTGTCTCCTGAGTCCTTCAATTCACACAGAACATAAAAGTTTCAAAAACTAATACTAACAACAGCAATTAAACCAGGCGCAGCTTTTTACAAGCAACGGCCCTAAGCTCTAAATAAAATTACGAACAAAACAAATAAGAAATAAACAATCAAAACCAGAAAGTGTTCTTGAATTTTTCTCTTAGAAAGAGTTCTTAGTTTTACAATAGTTTGCTTTTCACTGAAAAACGAACGGGAAATCTAATTAACAGTGATAAGGATGAGAACAGTTAGTTCCCAGGCAGAACATGCAAGAGTTCACAAGGCATCACACACTCCACCCACTCCCTCAATGTTCTGGGGGAGCTTTCAAGAAATGCCACTATCGAATGCCAGTTTTAAGGCCTTAAAAAAAAAAAGGCCTCAGGAGAGCCCTACCCCTGCAAATGCACTATAAAATACAACGTAGCAAAACTCCATTTTCCAAAACAATTCAAGAATTTCCTACGATACCTGAAAAAGAAAGAGCATGTACTCTGGAACCCTCAGGACTGCCGCCTCTCACACGACAGGGAGAGCAGCCCACGAGATTCCGAGTCACCACAAACCGCCACCAAGTCAGTTTCTGTGACAGATCCGCTGGGAGCATCCAGCTGTGATCCGCGGCCCTCCCTGACTGACGCTGCTGCAAGAGGAACGTAAATGCAATCTTCAGAGCCCTCCTACTTCCGTTCTCAAACAGAAATGCACTGCTTCTCCTACACCTCATTTCTTAACCCAATACCTCTCGATAGCGATTCCCCCTTCAAAAAGCTTAAGTGGAAAGCAAAGCAGATAGTGTTGGACCAGAGCCGACCGAATGTGTGATTGATTACGCAAAGGGTTTCCACCCCCGACTCCGGTGCAAATCTCCAGCCAGCGCCTTCCTAAGAGCCTGTCCCGCAGGGGAAACGCAAGCAACAGAAGTCGACGTCTCAGTTCGCCACCCCCAATACTTCCTCCACGGGGTAAAGGGAGCGGAAAAGCGCAAAGAGGAACTAAGTGAACTGCGAAAGGGTGCCCAGCAAGCACCCTTAAAGAGGGGGTGAGGGATAGAAACGGAGGAGCGGAAGGAAGCGGAAAGGAAGAGCTGCAAGAGGCAGGGAACGAGAGCGCGCGCCAGAAATGGGCACGAGTCTTCGGGGACGCGGCTGCACTCCAGTCCTCGGAGCACGGCGGGTGCGCCCGGCCTCTGGGTTGCTTCGCCTGGGTCAGAGGGCTAGGAAGTGGGATGAGGAGACAACGTCCCCCCTCCCGGCCAGCCTCGCAGCTCAGGAAGAGTCGTTCAGGGCTGCAGTGCCCTCGTTGGGTCGGGAGCGGAGAAAACTGCCGCTCGCCCCGTCGGAAGGAGAGGGCTGCGGCGGACTCTGCGCGTTCTGGCAGCCGGCTTTCACGCCCACCCACCGCCCAGGGTCTCAGCTCCGGGGTGACGCTTGCCCGGCTCTGGGGGGCCGCACCAGTTACCTGAAGCGGGGCGAGTCCTTCAGACACTCCTCGAAATCCACCATCATCTTCATCCTGCCTCTGCCTCGCCTAGCCGGCGGTGCTGGAGGAGCTTAAGGAGCCGCGGGAGCGGCCGCGCTGGGTACCCAAACGGCCACGGCGGACGCACGGCCGCCACTAGCGTTTAGTGGAGCTGACCAGGCAGCCTCGCCCGAGGGTCATAGCAGCCGCGAAGACCGCGACGGTAGCGACGGCTGGTCAGGCCCTTCTTCCTCCCGCCCCCCAGCAGAACGCCGGCCTCAGGGAAACGGCCGGGGAGTGACAGCTTCAGCCAGCCAGCCACAAACCCAGCAGCCAATGGGAGGGGCTTCTGGCAGCACGGCCTGCGGCTCTCTGGCAACGCATCTGAGCGACAATAGCCCAAGCCAATGAGCAGAGCGACCGTGGATGCCTTCTTGCTACAGGCGTCCCCGAGGGCCAACCGGGTTGCGCCGACCTCGTCAGGCGGGACGCACCGGTTGCTGGGAGGCTGGCAGCCTGGGCTCCTTGGGAAGGAAGTCACGGGTCTGCGCACCGCGCTTCCCTCGTAGCCCCCGCCTCTTCTGCTTCTCCAGCCCCTCCCTGCTGAGCTGCCAACGCGGAGAAGCTGCTAACGCGGAGAAGCTGCCAACGCGCAGAAGCTGCCAACGCGGAGAAGCTCCTCCTGCAGGTCTTAGCAAGGACAGTTATTTTTTAAGGCTGCTTTGGCAGAAATCTGAAGAGGTTAGGAGATATTATAAAAGGAAGAAATAGGCCAAGCCACCGCTTCCTTTCAGTTTAAAGAAATTGAAGCCAGGAATGGAGCAAGGGTGAACGTTAATGATAAAATCCGTCTTTCAGCTACTGGCTTCATCGCTTATAATTTAGAAATCTCCCCCACGTGTATGTTTTTATATAATCAGACTACTTCCTGAAGGAGCTGACATTTAGGGTGGGCATCGAAAGATCAGAAGGATTCAGACAGGTATGAAAGGTAGGGTGTTTCATGTGGAGGAACCGTTCTTAAAGCCACACAAGACATTCCTTCTTACAGACACATTTCTCTCTGTAGCCTTCGCTAGTTCTAAGATGACAGGGTTCTGAAAATCAGGCTCACTTACTCCATCCAACTTGCAGCACCTGCACCATGGACACATATTTAAATATATACTTTTTAAACCCAACCTAAAAAGCACAAGCGTATTTATAAAAATGCACATGTACGATGTTCGAACAGCGGAGTGGCTCTGAGTGAGAGCCAGAAGGGAAACTCCCTGGCTTTACCTCCTAGCTTTCTCACTGTAAAATGAGTATCACACCACGGACCTAATAGAATTGGTTTGAGGCTGAAAAAGGTAAGACCTCTAAAGGTTCTTAACACTGTGTTACATAGTAAGCATTCGGTAAATGTTAACTATTGCTATAATTGTACCGCTTTTTTCTTCAGTGCCGTAATCAGTAGTTAAGCATAAGCCTTCTCACCTCTACTGCCTAAAGTCTTGTATGACCCTTCGACCATCTGACTATAGCATAATGGCTTATTGCTTTTCATAACCTATGGTCTTTGATCTCTTTAGCACCTTTAGTAATTAACAATATAATTTTGAGAATTTCAAAGAATATACAAGCTTTATAAATGTGTCTTCTTTTGTTATAAACTTGGTTTCTCTTTTTTAACTGAATTCTATACTCTTGGAATCTATGCAACTTCTCCTGATAACTAGAAACCATTGACACTCAAACATTACATGTCCTCAAACACTTCAGTTAATCAAGCCAACCTCTTCTAGATTTGTAACTTCTATGTCAAATTTACAAATAGAGTAGACCATTTCTACATTTAATTGAATTCCTGATGCGTAACAACTAGTCTGTATATACATTAACTTACTGTTTTAACACAGTATAAGTTTTTGGGAGATGCCTAAAGTGACACTTTGAGGTTGAAATTAAAATTAAACTGCATGACACCATCAATACAAATAACTAAGCTAAATATCAAATAAACATTCTTCTGTGAATGTCTAAATTTACATATACCCATTTAATGATAGCAACTTCACAATTTTTCTTCTCTGTCCCACGGTAAAGCAAGCATTACAGGGTGTCAATGGTAAGACATGTCCTAAAGACATATTAAGAAATATTAAGAACCCTAACCTGGTAACTCAGTTGGTTAGAGTGTCGGCATGATACACCAAGGTTGTGGGTTACATCTCCGGTCAGAGCACATGCAAGAAGCAACCAATGAATGCATAAGTGAAACAACAAAACTAACTCTCTCTCTCTCTCTCTCTCTCTCTCTCTCTCTCTCTCCCCTCCCCCCAAAGAGCAATAAAAAAAGAACTATTAAGAGTGGTTAGGGTGGAAATCCCAAAGTGTCACAGGTCATAAAAATAAGTTTCAGGGCCACTCTGCAACTTCTGCTATATATTTTTTTTACAATTCTTTTTTTTTAAAGATTTTATTTATTTATTTTTAGAGAGGGAAGGGGGAGAGAGAGAGAGAGAGAGAGAGAGAGAGAGAGGAACAATGTGCAGTTGCTGGGGGTCATGGCCTGCAACCCAGGCATGTACCCTGACTGGGAATCGAACCTGCGACACTTTGGTTCTCAGCCTGTGCTCAATCCACTGAGCTACGCCAGCCAGGGCTTCTTTTACAATTCTTGATGTATCTTTTCAATCCATGCTTCTGAGTTTATCACTTTCATAACTGTTTCTCAGTCCCCAGATCCCAGGAGAAAATCTGGTCAACACAGCTCATTTTTTCATGACAAGTCACACACGCCTCTGGAAAGCCTGAATGTGGGGTGGATCACTCAGTCATTTGTACAGGAATGGGGGCTGCAGGACAGCTGACTGGTAGACAACCAGTTTCCCTGAAAGAGGATGTTGATGTCTGGGTCGCATTAAGCACAGCTATTAAACTCACATTCATCCAGGACTTGGGCATCTGACTCACAGTCCTCTACCCCAACTCCCACCATTAATTAAGGTGATTTCAACATTCACTTGTTCTTTCACTCAAAAATATTCACTGAGCATATTCCATGTTCTCTGGCCAGACCCTATGGTAGGCTCTGAGGTTGACAGGTGAAATAAACAGTGTTTTATTTCTAGAGCTTTCAAACCAGAAGGGGAAGCACACAATGAATTCTGGGCCAGGAATATGCACAGGGAGCTACTCCTACACTGACAGTCATTTCTTCTGAGGAAGGAAATAAGGTTTGTATATGTCTGTAAATATGAAGAATCTTGAAAAAGTAAGATCCAACAGAAGATGAGAAAGTTCTTTCCAAGGACCTTGAATTACAAAGAACTATGTGGCTAAAGAGGTAAACAGTAATCACATACAAATGACCTTGCCTGCCATGCTAAGGTATTCTATCTTAAAGCAATAGGAAGTCATCAGAAAAATTTAAACCTCAAAGTGATATGATCTAATTTGAATTTTTTAAAGGAAAAGATTGAAAATGTGACAACATTAAACTTTAAAACTTCTTAGTGGTAAAGGAAACTATAAACATATAAAAGGCAAGATAAGCATTTGGCTATACTCTAATATATAGACTATTCCTATGCATTAGTAAGAAAATGAAACAATGCATTAGAATTATGGACAGATATTTGCACAATCAATTTGGAAGAGAAATTTATAAATGGCCAAGGGACAGATGAAATTAGCTCAGCCTTGCTGTTGATCAGGGACATACCAATTAAAAATATTGTATTTTTTTCCATTACAATTTATTCCCCTTATACACTGCCATAATCACCACTCTGTTGTTCACGTCCATGAGTCGTTCCTTTTCCTCCATCCCTCCTCCCTGTAACCTACCTCTTCCCTTTAGCTGTCATCCTGTTCTCTGTCTAGGAGTCTGTCTCTACTTTGCTAATTCAGTTGTTCGTTAGATTCCACATGTGAGTGAAATCATGGTATTTGTTTTTCTCTGACTGGCTTATTTCACTTAGCATAATGATGTTCTCCACATCCTATGCTGTTGCAAAAGGCAAAATTTTCTTTTTTAAGGCTGAGTCGTATTCCATTGTGTAAATATCCCATAGTTATTTTATCCATTCATCTACTAATGGACACTTGGGCTGCTTCCATATCTTGGCAATTGTAAATAATGCTGCAGTGAACATAGCGATGCTTATGTTCTTTCTTTTTTTTAAGATTTTATTTATTTATTTTTAGAGAGGGAAGGGGGGGAGAGAGAGAGACACACACACACACACACACACACACACACACACATCAATGTGCGGTTGCTGGGGGCTGTGGCCTGCAACCCAAGCATGTGTCCTGACTGGGAATCGAATCTGCGACACTTTGGTTCGCAGCCCGTGCTCAATCCACTGAGCTACGCCAGCCAGGGCTGATGCTTATGTTCTTTCAAATTAGTGTTTTGGGTTTCTTCAGATAGATTCCCAGAAGTGGAATCACTGAATCATAAGGCAGTTCCATTTTTAATTTTTTGAGGTATCTCCTTACTGCTTTCCACAGTGGCTACACCAGTCTGCATTCCCACCAGCAGGGCAAAAGGGTCCCCCTTTCTCCACATCCTTGCCAACACTTGTTTGCTGATTTATTGATGATAGCCATTCTGAATGGTGTGAGGTGATATCTCATTGTGGTTTTAATTTTCATTTCTCTGATGATTAGTGACACTGAGCATATTTTCATGTCTACTGGCTATCTGTGTGTCCTCGTTGGAGAAGTGCCTATTTGGGTCCTTTGCTCATTTTTTAAATTGGGTTGTTTATTTTGAGGGTTTTAAGTTTTATAAGTTCTTTATAAATTTTGGATAATTTGAATTTTTTAAAGTGGGGCAGAGGAGTGGAACTATCAAAACTGAGACTAAATGAGGTAAGCAATTTTGAGGTTTTCAACCAAGGCAATTGTGATCAAGAGATATTTAAGAAATACAAATCAAAGAATCTGATGGCCCACTGAATGTGAGGAACAAGAAGGAAAAAAACTTAACCTTGCGGTAACTCCATGTGTCAGGTTTGAGTGACTGGTGGGAGGTGGTGCCATTTGCCCAGAGAGAACACTTATCTGTATGTCTCAAAATATGTCCCTTTAAGAAGGCCTTAAATATTCCCGCCTTATACCTTATCTCACCCAGAACATTCCATGCACAAGCTCAACCTTGAATGTTTCCTGTAGTCTCACTCCCGCACATTCACTTCACATCTCCAAACCCCCAGGACTCTTTTTATCTGCCTAACTATTGATATCCACTTGTCTTCTTCCACCACTTCACTAACACTCTTTACAATGCCTCCATACATCTCCCTAGGTCATTTCCTGGCAATGTCACATACCCAGCACTGGCT